GTGGCTTTACAGATGAGACCCCCTCTTTCTGGATGAGCCACCACCCCACCCCTTTTCTGAACCTGCTTAGCTCCCACTTCATCACACAAGTAACTGCCTTGGGGGTGCCACGTCTTCTGGAAGCTGTCCCCAGTCCCACAGTTGGTGTTAAATGTCTCTCCCATCTTCTTCTGGGTCCCCAGGGCCTGCAAATGTCCTTCAACACTGAAAACCCCAATCTCCTGCTGTGTTTCCCCCACCACTCTGAGTGCTGGGAGAAGAATGCCTGTGTACCTTCAGCACAGTGTCTGGCATGGAAAAGGTACTCAATACAGTTGCTGATTGATTAAATGAGTCGAATGAATAAGCACAGGTGCAAAAAATATAATTCTCTTTTTAAACACTCTTCTTTGGCCAGGAGAAACCTTTAATAGAACTTAGTCAGTCACATTAGTTGAAACAGAATTGTTCCATTTGAGATATTTCATCAAACATAAAATCTCTTGCTATAGGGTTTCAGATGACTGTGAAGCCAACTCTATCAAGGGTATTTTAGTAGCAGCATAATTTTTTATTGGTCTGAACAACTGTGAGATAAGGGGCAAGGTGTAGCAAGTTCAGCATTTAACTGTGAGAATTGTGCCACTGATAAAAAGTAGTTCAGGGCTTTTTTTATTTAATTCTCTTTTTTTTTTCTAGGCTACTAACATTGTGTAACATGTAAGAATGGTGACGTAAGTTATGTAAATATACATCAGGACAACTGGCTTTATAACTACCTTCCTGTATGCCAATCATGACTTTCTTTTTCTTTTCTTTTTAATTGCAGTATAATTGGCATACAATATCATACTAATTTCAGATGTACAACATAATGATTCAGCATTTATATACATTAGGAAGTGATCACTACCATAAACCTAGCCACCATCAGCCACCATACGAAGTTGATACACAGTATTAACTATATTCCCTAAGCTGTACATTGTATCCCTGTGTTTTAAGTTATTTTGTAAGTGGACGTTTGCATCTTTTCATCCCCTTCCCCTATTTTGCCCATCTCCCACCTCCATCCTCTCTGGCAGTTATCAGATTGTTCTCTGTATCTGTAAGTCAGTTTCTGTTTTGCTTTGTTTTTAGAGTCTACGCACAGAAGTGAAATCACATGATATTTGTCTTTCTCTGTCTGACTTAATTCACTTCCCATAAGGCCCTCTCATGCCTTCCCTTCAATCCTTTGACCTTGGTGTCTTTCACTCTGTTCTCCTTTGGTGCTGGACTTTTTTGTTGTGCTGTTATCACCATCCCTCCATGCCAAGTTGGAAGATAAGTATGACCATCACTTCCAAAAGGACACCCCATCCAGAGAGGGATTCTTCTATTGTGTATCTTGAATACTGGCCACCAAACCAAACAGGAAAGAAGCCCACGACAAGACAGACGTGTATTCAAAGCAGCCCAGTCGTGGTTGCTGGAATATCTGCAGCAGCTAACAGATTACCTGTCACATGGCAACCTGACAGCATTGGCAGATGCAGAGATGCAAATGTGCCCTAAATTTATTTGCAAATTCTAACCGAGGAACAGATTGCCTCATGTGTGTCTTGTATGTGCCTTTGAGAAATGAGCATTTTTAAACAGAATATCTTTATGTGCTCATACTACTATTTTTCCTCCTTTAGAGCAAAGATTAAGAAAACATACTACACAATGACATGAAACATTTTTAAATGCTTCATAGATATATGTGTGCTCATCTTTCCTGTACTTCCATTCTGGGAATCCCCTATTAAAATTTCAGATCACACTAATCCTGATTATAATCACCAAAAATGAAGTGAGAATCTTATAAATAAAGAGAAGTCTGGAAGCTAACCTGAGAGGTAAGAGATCATTTAACAACTATTCTGAGGATTTACCATAGCCCGATTTTAAAGTTAGTGAAAATAGTAGATTCAAAGATGTATGGAATATATCCTAAGATCTCAGAGAACATGCTGCTATGAAAATAAGGAGATAAACACTAATATGTCTATAGCAGATAAATAAGTGGCATAAAGGTTTATGTATAATTACAATCCAACTGACATTCTGAAGTCCACTGGAGGGATGAGGGGAATAATTTCTGAGGGACCTTGAGACATGAGTATTTTCTCTTGCCATTCTGCCTGTCCGACTGGGTGAAAGCCTACTTACTCCCAGGATTTAAACACCGGACCTCTACACTGATGATGTACAAGGATCTGCCTTCAAACCCAGATGTACTTTCTGGATCCAGACCCTCACTTCCAACTATTGGCTCAGAATCTCCATGTCAATGTCCCAGAGACATACCATACTCAAAGTGTTCAAAACTCTGTTTCCCCGTCCCTAAACCATCTTATGTTTCTATTTCAGTAAATATTTAAAAAATCCTCCTACATTATCAGATTCAAAGTCTTGGACTCCTCCTCTGCCTCATTCCTATCCTTGGACCAAATCTGATTCCTCCTGTTTAAGTTTTTTGTTCCTAAGTAAAGTCCTAAAACTTAACAGCCTGAAAACTCATCTCCTTGCCTCCATTGTATGTATTTGTGTATCTTTCCAACAAAATGTTGCAAGGGTTACCTTCCTTCCTATTTTTCTTTCCTGCCTAAGAAGCATTAATGCCTTCCATCCCTTACAGAAGGAATACAACCTAAACTTCTTGGCTACATTTTAAGAGTTTGGCCCCTGCCTATATATTTAGCCATTTCTCTTCTTTACTTGCATATGCACAAGACATCCTGGGATCTTCCTTACGCACCCATGCCTGGAATGCCCTGCTCCGGTGGTGTTCTGTGAAGAAGTTGTGTTCAGTGTTATCTTATCCAAAGCTCTCCTCTGCCACTCCATTAGACCTTTGATTCTTCTTGTCACACAGTCCCCTCACCCTGTTTTATTTTCCTTCCTAACACTTACCATATATTACATGGCTCTTTATTTGCTTAGTATCTGTGTCCCAGCTATAGGATATAAACTTCTAAAAAATAAAGCAAGACTCAGATTTTGGGTGCTCAGTAATATTTGCTGAATTTTTTGAATTTAATCCTTCTGATACCACTCAATGTCATCTTTTCCTCAAGAGACACAAACAGTGTTGCCCTCTGAGAGCAAAGATCACAGTCTACTTGCATTACCTCTGTTCATATATACTCCACCCCACTAGGCTAAAGGGACTATGGTGTTACTCATGTTTATCTTTTAGCACAGGATGAACTGAACTAAATTCAATGTGATTAGAGATCTCCACACAATTAAAGCTGTTTCTGATCTATTGAAAAAGATCATATTTAGGAAAGTACATTAGGAGGAAATTGAAAATGACTGGAATTCCAAATGATTTTCATTCTGGGCATCTAGGAATCCAAAGGAGAACTTCTTGCTCCAGAGAAAGCCTGCAATAGCTAGGATCCTTCCTCCTTGGGACCACTACTGTTCAGATTTAATACTCTGAATATTACTTTCACTATACAGAGTATTTTTTAGTTGCTTTCTGGCAGAGTCGGTTTTGAGTTGCTGACAGGCTCTCCTGTTACTTCCATACAGGTCCACATCCAGGCCACAGTGAATTTCAAAGTGATTTAAAATCTTGAGGTGGCACAAGTCTTTTTATATGATTCTTTCAGACTTTTAAGGAGCTAAAGTGATTGTTTTTTGTTTTTGTTTTTGTTGTTGGTAGGTTATACCATATTTTCAGGATCAGAGGTTTCTACACATGTTGATACTTTCATATTAGATTATAACTCACTGAGCCTCCTTTTATTTTACAGTCAGACTTCGGTTAGACTCCATGTGGCTGGTGCATAATGCAGAATTGCAAAAAGTGGCGGATAAGGATTACGTCCAACAGATCATTTGAACTGCTTAAACAAGGCTTAGAGTCTTCAATATGAAGGAATATTTATTTTTCAGGTGATCAGACTTATTTAAAAAATTGTAAGGCTTTGATTCTACATTGACACAAATATCTTTATGTATATGCATTTATTTTTGTACCCAATGAACATTTATTGAGCACCAACTACATGCAAAGCATGATGGTAGACTAAATGTGATAAACCATGGCCTCCATCCTCAGAATACATTCTCCTACTAAATGTTTTCTTTTTCAGAAGTGAGTATTATACAGAATGTCCTAATTTTCCTTTTTTAAATCTAATAGAAAACGTGTTTTAAGATTAACAGATTATGTTTTCAGACTCTGATGCCATGGAGATCTAATATTAATAAACAGGCTACTGACTGCCAGGAGGCAAGTGACTGTGAAAGTGCCTATAGCCACTGACTGAAGTTCTATGATTCAGTGAATATCACCCCCGCCCCCCACCAATAAGGATGAATAGGAAGGTGATTTTGCAAGCTATTATGAAGCTGTATGAAGAAAGAGTATTATTTGGATATACCTGGCAAAAGTAGCATTTGTTTGTTATCTAACACCTTCATAGATACTAATGCTTTTGACTTTGCTTTACAAAACACCTTTCATGGACAGCAGATTTAAAAATCCTTGACTGTCTTCCATGCTGCAAATCAAACTGTTCAATACTCCAGATAAATTGCCTGTTGTTCAAACTGTCCAGGACAATTCTTAAACTTGACTATATAATGAAGAATTGAATTCCCCTAGATCAAAATCCATCCTATACTGTATGAAAGTTTTATCTCAATTTAAAAAATAAAAATATTTCATTTAAAAAGTATTTTTATAAACTTTATTAAACCAGCTGATCTTAGGTCGAGTATTCATTCTAATAACTTACTAAAAAAGCAACTGTATATTGCTGATACATGTGAAGATTTGGGAATAAATTGATACAAAGCATTTGACATTAAATATAATTACTATTTTTCTGTATCTAAGCTCAATCTTTCTTGAAGACATAAAATACCAAAGTCTAAATCTCAAGGTACAGTCTACAACATTATCAGTCAGTAATCAAATGTTCTCAGTGCAAGAGAAATTGGCTGCTATCAACAGGTGTCACTAGGGGAGCAGATACCTTGGGCAGCCCTGTTGTCCCAGATGTATAAAGAATATACAGTGGATGCTCGGAAAGCACCGGAACACAGTCGTGTGACTGCGCTTGTGCCATCTCTTCATCCCAGTCGAGGTCACGGCCTGGGGCCAAAGGAACCGTTTCCTGCATAACAAAAATGCAGGAATAAACATGAACAAAGGAGATTAAATCAGGACAGTGGAGAGTAGCTAAATCTATTAGTCTGAGCATCTGACTGAAAATCTAGGCCTCTACAGCACTAAATACCAGATGTATGACTAAATATCCCAGGGTCACGAGTGAAGATAAATATTCATAAGAAGTCCAACAGTTTGATACTGGCTTTAATTGCACTGACAAAAGACCATGTTTTATTCAAATCTAGGGATATCCTTAAGAAATTTAGTGTGATGCAGTCATGTTTTCTTCAGTCAGGGCTTAACAGAGGTTCATGTTTCCATAATGTATGTATACTATTAACTTTATAAAATAATTACTGTTTTCCATAGCCTATTTTACTTTGAATACTTTTTTCACCATGAAATGTCAACTAACCCAGTAAAATTTCTGTTTATTCAAGGGCCATTTAGTAGCAGTACTGTGGACGTCTTTCCAAATGAGAGATTATTAAGTCATTTTCAGGGATGGGGGAGAAATTTACTTTTGTTTTTTCAAGAACAAAAATAAGTTTTGAAAATTAATGTTCAAGTTTTCTTCCATCCAGGTCATCATTAAATGTGGTAGAAACATTTGTTTCCTTTTACAGCCAAGCTCTATGTTGTACACTTCATGATACAGAGGCGTAAGTGAGACAGGTAGGCTTTAAAATAAGCGAGACAGAACCTCTTTGAAAATGGCACCAGTGAAATAAGCCAGATTGGTGGGGAGTATGGAAGTGGCTTATAGAAAAATTACTCCAATGGGGAGTTGCAGCTATTTAAGTAGAGTTAAAACTCCATGTCTGGATATTTTCAGAAATGTTTATTAAGCTCAAGATGCTACATCATGAAGTTTACAGTTGGTGAACCTGTTTGGATGGCACAGGCAAGGCCACGCATCTCTCGGACAGAGTTAGTAATACTACAGAGTGTACGTTACCTTTCATTTCAGCAAGGTGATCCCTGAGCTAAGCCCACAGACTGACAGATTTAGTAAAGCCAGCCATTCCCATTTCTCAGACTCCTTAACATACTAATCAGGGTTGTAATAAATGGTCATATACTTAAATGGGTACACTTACAAATCAACACCTCAATATATCACAAATAGAATACCTATATGAATAAACACAGTGATAGATAACAATCTGAATTAAGTTTTAGTCTGAACTGACTTCCCCAACCTCACTTTGATAGGCCTTGGATATGCCATTTAGATAAACAAAAATAGTTGACTGTGACCAAATCGGGTGTTTCCATTTGTTTTTATGCATCAGATAAGCACAACTAATTTAATCACAATTGACATCACAATTACCGATCTATAAAAAAATCATACTACATAATGAAAAATGTCAATTGATTAATCATAAAAGTTACAGATTGACTTAAATGAGGACTTGAATAAATGGTTATTCTTCAGAAATACAGGCCTATGTAAAGAAGATTTGATGAATATAAGAGAGGGAAAAGTCAACCTTAGTGTTTACATATATACATTTTCCTCTATAGACATGTCCTCTAGCTGTTATACTCTTAAGAGGCCACTCTGGGTGAGTGCCAGAGGTAGCTGACGTGGTAGCCCTGTGAGTCTCTCAATGCCGCCCAAGGCTTCAGAGTGGCAGCAGGTTTTGGCCTCTTTTGCCAAAAATGCAATCCTAGTTAATGAGTTGCACCATCGAGCCTCATAACTTGTGTCTCTCCAAACTGAAAGCAAAGCCAGTCTGTTGGGCTCTTAGTTACTGCCTAGAGAGCACGTCTAATAGGAAGGACACATGCAACCAAAGCCTTTATCTAAAATAAAGATAAGTTAAAATAAAGGGGAGGGTCTCAAGAAAAAGGGAGGAGAGAAAATGAACCAGTTATGGGAGGGGGTGGATCTCAATCTACTAAGAGGAAAAAGAAGAGACCTGCATTTAAAACATATGAATAGCAACCATTCATGCCAGTCAATATCCAGGGTGTTTGCAAAGTAACAGAAATGACATTTATCATGTTGGTTAAAAGTCATTAAACCAGAATTCAAAGTTCACTCATTAGCTATGACATTGGGCTATGATTTCTCCATAATTCAGTTTCTTCATCTGTAAAACGGGACCAGTAATAGCATCTGTGTCATTGGTTTGTGAGAACTGAATAAGAAGTACTTGAAAGTAGTTCGCCTTGGGCCTAGTATACGTTCTTTATACATTCTACATGAATTCATATTTGTGTGAGGAGCACACACATACTCATGTAATGAGCACAGACAGAGTGTGTGTGTGTGTGTGTGTGTGTGTGTGTGTGTGTGGTGGTGGTGGTGGTGGTGGTGGTGTGTGTGCTTCTACCCTTCCTCTAACTGCTTACCAAAGCCTTCTTTATTGGTGACTTTGTATTCCCTGATTTAACACAAGTCTCTTTAAAAACTATGCTTGAGGGCATCTTAAAGAAAACTCTACAGAACAGTAAGAATATTAAAATTACTGAGTGCAGCAGTTCAAGAACCACAGACTACTAAAACTTTACATGGGAATTTAATGTGGTAGTGGGAATTGCTGGCAGTAATCAAAATGACATAGTTTTAATACTCTCTTTTCTTCTATCTTGTCATTTAAGTATTTCCTGCAGACAACCTCTCAAGAGCTCTACAAAACGATACATGATTCTTTGAACTCCTATAACTTTTCTCCTGCACAAACTTTTCATTTGTTAGAAACCCAAGTTGGTCCCACTATAAATAGGTGGAGATTTGCTTGGATATAGAAACAAGGTGATCATTAGGTCAAGTTTACTAGGAAAAGCATTGGAAAGTATGTTCAGTGACGCATTATACTGCTTGTTCTTTCATGGATCATGGAACAATTTCTGTTTAGACTATACATATTTTGTTTTCCTGCACATAGTTTTTATTTCCAGACTAAACACTTTTTTTTTAAGTCTTTCAAAGACAGACTTTACATACAAATTAATCACACCTCCCCATGACGCAGGAGAGCTGAGACGAAGCAGTTAGACTGCACGCCTTCTCATCCTATCCCTGAAAACACTTACTAGCTGGGTGACTTACTTTCTCTGTTCATTGGATTCCTCTTCTTTAAAATAGGAATACTGTTGTCACCTAGCCCATAGAGTCATTAGAAAATTTTTCTTAATTATTTATAGTAGAGTCTCTTAAAATCGTATGGCAAGTAGTCAATATGTGCATGTTGGTATTGTTGTCATTAAACTAATAAATAACACCAAAATAGACTATACATAGAATCCGATTCATTGCTATTACAGGCATTTCTATGTTTTAATCTTTTTGTTTCAAGCTAATTTTTCAAAAAGATAGAAATAATCATTCACATCTCTTTTTTTTGTACCAATAGTGACATTCAGGAAGTATATTAAATGGTTTCTAAGTCTACTGTTTCTTTCAGATGGTCAACACTGGAATCATTCTTAGCACATCACCATAAGCCAGAGTCAAATTCAATAGTCAGATTACCATATTTGGGCGATTATAAATGAGAACTTTATCTGGTTTGTGATGTCCTGTTCTCAGCGCTTCCTCGAGAAGTGGTATGTACTCTACTTTCCTTCCAGGTTCAATACCAAATGATGCTGTAACCACCACCTTGGGCTACAATAAAAAACAAAATAACAATTGAGAAAGGTTAACATTCCTAATGAAAGTAACCACAATATTTCGGGTGCAGATTGGCAGTTTAACATTTCTAAAGAAATGTCTGAATGATTCTGTTCTCTATTGAATAAATGCCTGAAAACCAATAAACCCTTTTTAAATGTTACAGTCCTAACAACTACTTCCACATAAATCTCACTTATCTGTAAACAATTACATGCTCAATGGTGCTTTTGGTTAATAAGTATGAGCTGTTAAAAAATACTTTCTGAATAATTCTAAGTTAGGCAGAAATTGCCAGGAAGTGGTGAAATATGAAGCGGTGAAATGTAAGCCTAGGGGCCCCTCACTCACAGAAGCTCCAGTGAATGGCCAGTTGTTGAAGTTGTGTTTCTGTGGTAGGGAGGGCCAGCCAATTGCTATCAGGAAGCATTTCAAAGGTTTCTGACATGAATCTCTGCTTAAATGGGACTGCAGAAGTAAGGGACCTGAATCTCCAATAATTCTTTTATGATTCCTTCCTCATTCTAAATACACAGTCCCTTCCAAAAAATATGATACTTGTAATTTTGTTGTATATTTCTCAAAAGGGCCTCCGAATGATTTAAGTTTCAAGCCCCACAAAGCCTGAACCCGCTGCCCTGGCATTAGGACACGTGTGGCGGTCGTCTGCATGTCACGACTTGCTGGTCATTCATTCTTCAAGATGCACCAAAAGGTCTCCCTGGAGGAGGCAGAAGTTAGGGCTAAACCCTCATCAGTCTTGGTACATTCTCGGCAGGCCTGCCCCGGCTGTCCGACTGCAGTCAAGGCGGTCCTTCATGCCCACGCTGCACAGGCAGCTCACCTAGGACAAATTTGGATCCCATCTCTCTCTCTCCCTCTCTCCTATGCCTGGGACATGCTTACCCTACCATAAGCTCTCAATAAATATTTATGGAACTGAACCAAAATTCCCATTAATCTGTAGAAATAAACATGTCTTTATTCTTTAAAGTACACTGTTTCTTCACCCAGAAATCCAAAGTGAAGGAGATAGATAATAAATTATTCAGAAGACAGATGATCAATCCAAGATAGTGTGCATCTGTTCCTGAATTCTGATTTCTGGTTATATGCATATATAGTACTTCTTGCTTTTTGAATATTATTTAATATTCATGGAGCTAAAGCTTAGCGCCGCTACATAGCTTGCCCCAGGTTATGAGAAAGAGGGCCAATTTTGTCTGATTATATAACCTTTCTCTTTCTACTATATCAAGCTGTCTTTTGAAAGCAAAAAAAAAAGGGGGGAAGAAAAAAATAAATCTTGTTGCCTCTTATGTTTTTAAAGGTCAGACATTTGAATACAATTCACATTTTAGTATCTGTAATAGTTATAAAAAATAACTGCAAGTAACATTACCAAGATTAGAATTCTGAATAAATGAAAGATACCTATCATAAAAACATATATAGAATATATCAAAACTTGAATAATATAGTCAAAATAAGACTCTTCTAGAAAAGTAAAAGTAATCCCTTTCACATCATGTTAACAGCCTTTTACTAGAGGTTTCATTTGGACTAAGCTGACTTAATAGAATACTGTGCATTGTTCTCATCTTCAACTGTTAAAACTTTTTCTTCAGCTGTTAAAACGTTTTTTTCCAGCTTATTTGAAAACCATAACATCAAAATCATCCCTGATTTCAACTATTCTGTCCAAAAATCGCAAATATGCATCTCTATCTCCATCTTCACACCTTCAATCTGACGTGCTCAATGGTCTTGCTTTGTAAGAACATGTGTTTATTGCCTGAACTCCTTAACAGGGAGCTGTGTGTGTGTGTGTGTGCGCCTGTATTATGAATGAAAATTCTTCCACTGGCATAGCATACGTTTGATAAATGTTAATTTTTTTTATATATTTCAATTTTCCCACATCATATATAAATTCTTAAAAAGAAATAACACATCTCGTGCCATTATCCAAAGGTGTTTAGGATTTCTGTAGCCCCCAAAAAACCTCTGGAGTCCATAGTTTCCTCAGACAAGTCCTCAAGTGCCTGGTGATTTGCAGGTCAACTGACTGATATTTTCCCTTAAATTCCCCTTCATAAGTACTAACTCAACATGTTTCTTTTTTTCTTCAAGAGAAAACAAAAAAGGTATCCAGGCTGTTAGTCCACAAACCAGTTTCCTAGTTCTAGTAACTGATCTATTACCAGATGAAGTCAGAAACATAAAACCTCACGTTTGCCTAGCACTCAGAGGATCCTAAATATACATTAGCTCCCTTTCTTGTTAAGAATATCTCATTTTGGGCTTGTAAAACTAACGGTAAATCATGTCATGCTCTTCTAACGACCTGCCTGCCTGAATCTTCCCACTGCAACGACTCCCCTGAACACCGCTCATTGCCTCACAAGCGGACCGCCTACCAGAGGTTCCTGTCCGAGCCTCTCTCCTACTCACACCGTATTTATTGCAAGATTTGCCTCCTCTTCCCAATGCACAAAACACAATGTTCACCTGCTCGGAAAGCTTGGCCAAGGTCTACAGCACCCAGTTCAGACACAAACTGCCTTCGCCGCCTCGCCTTCCCTCCGTCTGCAGTCCCGCCAGTCTATTCAGTCTCCTACGAAGGAATCTTTCCCTTTCCCGCCTCTAATAGCAGCCTCGTGCTCTTTTTCTTTCCTTTGGAATCCCACCATGTCATTCTCTTCGACTAACTGAATCTTAGCCGATATCGAACTCAAATTTCACCTCCTTCAGAAGCCTTATTGGGCCACCTGAACTAAAAGAAATCATTCCTTCCTATATAAATTGGGGGCTCTGCAAACTGTGGCTGAGAACCAAACCCTGCCAGCACCGTGTTCCTGGAAAGTTTTATTGGGACGCCGCCATGCCCTGCACTACGTAGAGCTGAGGGCCGCTCTTGTGCCCTGACATGTGAACATGCAACAGAAACCACGTGCCCACGATGCCGAAAGCATCTACTGTCTGGTGACTTAGAAAACAGTTTGCTAATCCCTGCTTTAAATTCATAGAATAGTAATAGCTAACTTTTTTAATGAGTACTATATGCTAGGCACTGTGTTAAGTGTTTCCAGTATCTCCGAGAGATTTCGCAACAGCCTTATTAAGTTTGTTATTTCACTACCCCTTTTAAACATGCTACTTCACCCCTCTCTGACAGCCCCCCAACCACCGTTTCTGGACGTGTGGGACTGTAACACTGTAATGCTAGCTATGTGTCCCAATTGATAAGTATCACTTATTATCCAGTTCCAAGGATAGTATCAGGCACATAGTGGGATCTTCATAAATATTTTCAATGAATAAATTAGTTATTAGGTTTCTTATTATGTCTTATACACTCAAATACATGGCAAACTAACCTGAAGGGAATGTACCTTATCTTATATTTTTATTCCTCACAGCACTTAGGAAGATTTCTTTCACAGGACTAACTCAAAAATAAATTTTTGATTAATAGATATATGCTAAAGAAAAAGTAAACTTGATGTATCACATCTGAAAGGAGGATCTAATAAGGGCAGATGACTCTTAGATGTTCCATCCACAGACAGCTATGGCTGTAGTACACGCAGCTACGATTCATTTTCTTCAAATAAAGCACTTACCTTTGCATGATCAATGCGACTACTTAATTCTTTGGATGCAAATCCCCCAAATATGAGACTGTGGATGGCTCCTATCCTCGCACATGCCAGCATGGTGTACATCGCTTGTGGGACCATTGGCATGTAGATGACCACAGTGTCGCCTTTCTGGATACCATGCTTGACCAAAACACCAGCCAGCTTGGAGACCTACAGCGAGATCATCAGGTCAGCAAAGTGCTGTGTTATTTTGCTAACCTTCGAAATTAATGTAATAATGCAAGAAGATGATCACTCACTTAGTAGTGGGTTGATGAAGCCCAAGTAACACATACTTGATTAGATATTAATAATAGATTCCTGTATTATAAGTGACTACAAACCAACTCACAGCTATTATGCCATATGAACTTCATGGTTACATTTGTAGAATTATTCACTCAGCAACACATTTACTGAGCACCTATTATGTGGCAGACATTGTGTTTAGAGTTGGGAACATAACATTGAAAAACACAGACACAGACATGTCCCTGTGGAGCTTTTATTCTAATGTGTGAATTGGCCAAGTGAACAGAAAAATTAATTTTATTTTAGATCCTTTTAGGTTAACTGTTGAAGGAAATAACTATCCATTAATAAAGAAAACATATTATGTACTTATAAGATAAATAAGATAGATTGTTATTATTTTTATTTTAAAGATAAGGTAACTGAGGCTCAGAAGTAATAAATAGCTAACCCAATGTCAGAGAGCTAGTGAATGGTTGGGTCAAGATACTATCGCGAGTCTCTTTTTTTTTTTTACTAAAATATAGTTGATATACAATATTATATTGGTTTCAGTTAAACAACATAGTGATCTGACAATTATGTACATTACTAAATGCTCACCTCATGTCAACCTATAAATACACTACATTATTATTGACTATATTCCCTACGTCGTAATTTCATCCCTGTGACTAATTCAGTTTAGAGCCAGAAGTTTGTGCCTCTTTATCCTCTTTACCTATTTCACTTATCCTCCCTCCCCACCCCTATGACAACCACCAACCTGTTCTCTGTGTTTGTAAGTCTACTTTCACCTCAGGTCTTTTGACTTCATAGTCTTTGTCCTTTCTACTGCCAGTTATTTTTCTTTATAGATTTTTATACTAATTACTGATACAAAATGACTGTGCTCTATATTGAAGGCAACCATACAAACCTTTATTTTAACATGTGATTTGGGGCCCAAACATACAAATAAATCTCTTTCCTCTTAACATGTGCTTTTTATAAAATTTCTAGTAATAAAAACAAAATAGGTCATAAGCCCACATATTATATAATTTGTTGCAAGAAACCTTTCCAGGGCAATCACAGCAGGCTGTGGGGAAGATGCCCAGACCTAAGTGAATAAGAAATTTGACATTCTTTCACTTAAAAAATACATATTAACTACCTATATATGCCAGGCAATTTCCTGAAACATAAGCAAACAAATCAAGACAAAGATCTCTATCCTCCGAGTAGTTAAGTTTTAGCAAGGGAAATACAATAAACGTAAGTAAATTATACAGCATGTTAAAAGGTAATCCATGTTATGGAGAGGGGCAGGTAGTAAAGTGAAGCAGAGGGGATTGGGAGGGTAGGGGATGTGATTCTCAAAGGAACGGTCAGGGTAGACCTCATTAAGAAATAACATTTTAGCAACAACTTGTAGTAGGCTAAGAATTAGTGGATATCTGTGAGTATACTATTTCAGGCAGAGAGAATGCCAATACACGCTGTGAGGGGATCATATGTGATGTAACTTGAGGAACAGCAAGGACACCTGGGAGCTGGACCAGAAAGAACAAGTGAAAGTGGCTTGGGTCAGGTCAGAGAGCTAAAGGAGGGGTCTGGATGGGTCCTCAGGGCAAGTGGCGGGAAGGACTATGGCTTGCCTCTGAATGTGACTGTTCAAGATACTGAACAATAGGGGCCTGAGGCAAGGAATTAGGCCACACAGGCTATTTCTGGCTCCTTTCATTCCCGTCTGCCACTCCTGCTTTTTGAACATGTTCAAAGGATTCTGAATCCTGATCATTCCTCCTTTTTCTCTTTATTTACCTCCTCTCTACAGATGGGGAAGATATGGTCAAGGTTAAAGGGTCTGGTGAAAGAAGTAACAATCTCTCTGTTGATTCTCTCCTATATTGCACATTTTAATTCAGTGCCATTTTGAAGAACTCAGAGCAGCAAGTCACAAGATACACACACTAAAGAAACATAAATCGTGACCTTAAATTCTCAAGAATGAAGATCAACAATAGAAAGTGTTTATCCCTATGTGCACTTCCTGCAGAAAGTGGCCACACTCCGTGACCACTTTCCTGGGTATCCCATTTAGGGCACAGCACTGGAAGAGACCAGGAGTGTGTCCTGTTTACTCAGCACTCTCAGCATGCTGAATAGTGTCTGTTGTTGAATAAAAGTAACCTTCAACCAGACCCAAGGCAGCAATGGTTCAGGAACTGCACATTTGACTCTCACTTCCTCATGTCACTGAACGATGCCCGAATTTTCTGTCCTCTGAAAGTAACAAAGTTAATAAATTCAGGAACTTTTTTGAGGAGAAGATCTCAAAATGACCAAATGTGGCCCCAAGATGTATTGAAGTCAGGGCCATGTCTCACCTTGAAAAAAAAAGTGAGCCAACATATTAAAATTAGGAGCTTTCATAGGCAAATCCAGATTTCTAGGTTCTCTGGAGGAATTGGGAAGTCCAGCAACACTGTGCGTGTGTTCTTGAATAAGAGCCATCAATGAACCCGATGGTCAGCTGCCAGGGTTGCCGCAGATCTCACCATTCCCTGGGGCCATTCATCACAGAGCTTGCATTTTTCTTCCCATTCTGAGTTTAAAATGTACTCTGCTAAATTGTGTTCTTTATGTTATATGCTTTCTCTATAGTTCTGTAACCATAAAGGTGTGATATTTACTTATACCATAGTTCTACAAACATAAAGGTGTGATATATACATAGTGATTTTTTTTCTCCCATTTATATTAAACACTTGGCTCTGGAAGCGTCAATTGCTAACCATCGCCCTGAAGACCACCTTCAGTCAAAAGAGGCTGCACCAGGTCCATATGACCACTAGATGGCGCCCATTTGGCCTTGCTAACCCTCCTGCTCACAGCTACTTACTACTTAATGTGTTGATACTGTGCTAATCACACCGGAGTTGCTCAAAAGAAAAAATCTTTGCATGATCAATAGAGAAAATTTTTTTCTCAGTAGTTGTCAGGGCTAAATCAGTAAGACTTTTCACTGTAACTTGTAAATTTAAAATACGTGTAAATATTTAATACATGTATATTATATATTATTAAAAATAATGAGCTATGTACTGAAAATGTATGGGAAAACATGTTTCTGGTGAAAAGTAAAAAAAGGCTTGTGAAAAACAAACTATTAGCTCGCAGCAGGAAAAATAAATGGACACTGGCTTAATATGAAAATATATGAGATATTTCATTAAAAATATTCCTTATTAACATTGAATCTAGAGATTGTTAATATGGGAACCCAGAATAGAATACTTAAGTCTCATTTCAGACACAGAGACTTTGGAGGTAAGTGTAGGCAACACAAGCAATGAAAGGAAAAATCTAGAAATCCCAGTTCATAATCACTCAAAGTGCTATAAAACTTCAATATAAAGGGCAACTTGATTAGTGTTGTTTTTCATCTTTTTATTGAATAATATTAAATTTTCAGAAGGAAAATTATCAAAGAGAAGAAAAATTGTTATTTTTATTCAACATCGCCTTCTTATATTACCATATATGAGTATTGATTTATAATTTCTATTGTTATCCAGAAAGATAATATTTTGACATGCATGAGGATAACTATGAGGCATGAAGGAAGCCTGAGGAAGCAAAGTAAATGTACATATATATTTAGATGCAATGTTGTTTGCTTCCTCACATTAATGATTATATGAATTAATCATTATTTTGGCACTAATCTGAAACCATCTTAATAAGTATCCTATCATTGATACAATTTGTATAGTATCTGCTATATGCCCTATGCTGAAATGAAGTCCACAGATGCAAAAATGAGGAAGACATGGTCTGTAAAATTCTGAGTCCAGGAAAAAATAACATACATGAATAGTACTGATAAAATAACAAAATATAGCAACAGCATGTAATGTAAAATGGTATACACATATATGTGGGTTATACATTGCATGTACGTTTTATGTATATTGTTTGTTTTAGACACAAATAAAAATTTCAAATTTTAGAATTATAAAATGAGAAAACATATTAGTGCAAATAATGAAAAAAGAGTTTACCATTTTAAAAATGTATTCATTCAGAAAAGGCTTCATTCAGAAACAGTCTGCGGGTTAGTCTAATTTCATGACCAAATGCCTGTGATGAATATAAACGTTAGCTGAGACTGGCCAAAGGCTGTGATCTATAGAGTGAACTAGCGTGCTCTTCCTGAACAGCAAGTATCTCCATCTAAAGAAAATCATGTTTATATGTGAAAGATAGTGTTGGTGTCCAAATTATCACAAAAAGCAACCATGGGCAACCTCAGGGCCATGTCAAAGAAAGTTATATGAAAGAGAAGATGAGAAAGCATATTTTCAAGCTGCAATGATGTTATACCATAAACCCTGGTTTAATCAATCACAGAAAATGTAACTAATTTAAAAACCAATTACAATATTTGAGGAAACAGTCCTCTTTCCCTAGGATTTGGCTTGAAAACTGAACATAAACCTTCCTTTGGAGTACGACCTAAAAACACCATGAAAGATGGGGAACAAGCAGAGAATTTACCTGTAGCTGTTCAATAAAAGGCTGAATCAGACTTTTTACAAACCCAGTAGGTGTAGTTGGAGACCCAAGATAAGAGACATATGTGGAATAGCTTCCACACTGCCAAACCATATTGTGTCCTTTAACTGTCCACATGTAAGCAAATACTGCTTTGTTAAGGGGACTTAAGCTAAGTGGTGCCCATTCATTTCTCCCCTGGACACCATGTCATCTCCCAGTTCCCACTCTTGCCCACTACAGTCTCTTCTTCAGAGAAGCCAAAGTGATTCTTGTCACAATATGCAGCTTCCTATCATACTTAGAGTAAAGATAGTCATCTTTAGCATGGCCTGTAAGGTCCCGTAGGACCTGTCTGACTCCTGGATACTCCTCCA